GAGAGGATCAGAGGATGGAGACAGACTGAGGGAGACAGGAGGAGAGACGGGACAGGGCAACTAGGCCCAGGGAGGGAAGCAGAGAGAAAGAGTACTTGCTTCTCAGTGTCGACTCAGTGGTGTCCACAGGGACGGCTTGAAGGAGACAAGATGAGCCAACATGGTGACATGAGAACAGACAGACCCAAGAACGAAGAACCAGCCTGAGGCTCGAATAGATCCACAGTGAAGACAGGCTCCCTCCCTCTAATGTATTTACCTCTATACAGCATCAAGCTCATCTAGTTTCATCCTTCTCTCTCAGTGCAGTGTTAATGTACTGTAGTGTCCAGTGTGTCTGTACTGTATTAGCCCCTCTCTCTCAGTGCAGTGTTCATGTCCTGGAGTGTCCAGTCAGTGTGTCTGTATGAACCCCTCTCTCTCTCAGTGCAGTGTTCATGTCCTGGAGTGTCCAGTCAGTGTGTCGTTATTCTCACCCTCCTCCGTGGTCTTCACTGCCTCGCTCTCCCTCTTCCTCCGGACGCTCCTCTGTTTCTCCTCCAGTCTCTGCTTCTCCGCGTTAGCCTCGTCCCAGCGCCCGTGCTCCATGAGCCGCTGGTCCGGCCGCAGGCGGCTGTCCGTTGGGGCCACACCTTCCTCCAGCTCGTTCAGGGTCAGGGCCAGCTCCGAGAAGTAGTACATGTTCTCTGCCCCCTCCCTGGGAGGGAGAGAGAGGGTCAGGGGTCAGGAACAGAGACTCACACACCTCCTGCATCCCTGTTCCTCTGAGCACCTGCCACTTTCTGTCTATCTATATCCTTACAGACACTGGCTCACTGAAGCAGAGACTGCAAGACAGAGAGACTACAGCTCTTTGACCTGACCTGACCTGAACATTGACAGAGCAGCAGAGAGACACAGAGCCCAACTCACGGCAGGGGGTGTCTCCTCCACAGCTCCCTGGCTCTCAGGGTCTGGTAAACAGTCTTGTGCTTGCCCTCTGTGCCATTCTCCCCCCGGCTGCTCTGCATCACCCGGGAGAACTCCATCTTCTCATCCCACGTGCCCGACAGGATGAAATGAGCCTTCCCACTAGAGTCTGTCACCACCCCCGTCACCTGGGAACAGAGGGAGAGAGGAAGCACTGATTCAGTACCGGACAGGGCGGCTCTCTTCCCCCTGGAACAGGCTGAGGTCCCTCACACTGGCGGTCTGACTCGGACAGTCGTCCAGGTTTGGCAAGTATAATGGCTGACTGAGGCATCTGGGAGCTTAGGTGACACATGACATAACTCCCATCCTCACTAAACCGCACTGGCTGCCAGTGAGGTTCAGAGTGGAGATAAACATTCTGCTTATGTATTCATGAGAGGTTAGGGTAGTGAAAGAGAGGGAGGAGGTATTTATGAGAGGGTAGATTAGTAAGAGAGAGGGAGGAGGTATAAATGTGAGAGAAGGGAAAGAGAGTAGGAGGAGACAAAGACCTCCGAGTCAGGTGGACTACGGCTCTCACCTTGCGCGCCACGTCACGGGAGAAGTAACTGTAGGGAGCAAACTTGAGGTGACAGCGATCTCCAGTCTTGTGGTTGATGACATCAATTTCTCCAGACTGAGGAAGACGGGGGGGGGAGAGATAGGTAAGTACAGACAAGTACAAAGCCCGAGATACATCCATCAGATCAGGATCACTACCATGCCTGCGCAGTGCTATCTGGCACTTTCTGCAGGATTTCCCAGTGAGTCTGTACTGAGAAACAGCATCACATCCATTAGGTGACATAACCTCACCTGCGATAACATGATAACGATAACGTACAGTATCAACAATTACAGTAATATCAAGCAGCTGCTTAACTAATCTCGCTCATTACAGTACTGTCCAAAAAAACTGCTTAACTAGTCTCACTAATTACAGTACCATCAGTGTTAACTGCTTAACTAGTCTCACTGACTGCAGTACTGTCTGAGCAAACTGCTTAACTAGCCTCATCAATTACAGTACCCTCAGCGTCTACTGAAATGTCATTCTACTGCTTAACTAGTCTCACCAATTACGCTCCTGTCCAAGCAAACTGCTTCATCAGCACGAGTCACGCTGGCTGGACTGCGGGTCTCTCTCTCACCTGGTCTATCCACAGCTTGCCCACTATGATGTTGTGGACGGTGGTCGTCACTTTCTTCCATGTGTAGTGATTCAGGCTTTTAGCAAAAATGCAGTGGGTTGTCCCTGAGAGAGAGAGAGGACTGTATATTGCACATGACAGACACAGAGAGAGAGGACTGTATTGTTTAGTTGTAAGTTAGCTGCACTGTATTGAAGACGATGTGCATGAGGCAGATGTAGAGACAGACAGGCGCAGCGAACAGGAGGAGATGCAGAGGCAGAGAGAGACACAGATGTGATCGTTTACCACAGCTGCCCCGCTGACTCACCCAGTGGCATGATGGAGAGGTATTTGCCCCGGAACTTGCTGGCCAGAGCGATTTCCTGCTGGAGAGTCCAGCCCCTCACAGACTCCACGTGGTGCGCCGCAGCAGGGGGGTGATGGCTGACCTGCGAGGGAGAAGGGACAGAGTGGGTGTGTGGCACCGCCTAGTGGCACAGCTGTAGGATGGCGTCTCGATTCTCCTGCCTCCATTCGACTGCCCTGAAGGTGCCCCATTCACAGAGACTACAGCAGTATTCCCAAAGCTACGCCACTATACAGAAAGAACACTGGGCGTTCAGGGTTTGATTCTGGGCTGCTCGGCCTGATCTGGGTCTGTGACACAACGACAAGTGGAAACAGGAGTATTATTTTCCAGAGAGGCTGTTGTTGGGCTATAAAATCCCAGGTTTGAGCCTGCTCAGGTGAGGCTCAATGGGTGAGGGCCAGGATTGTCCAAGCATGAGCGCAGGTTCAGTCGGGGGAGAGATTAGTGGAGC